GAATTGAATTACTGAAATAAATTAACTTTACCATGATATTCTAATTTATTAAGATGCACCTGTATAGGAATTGTGTTTTTGTTACCTTAGTACAGCTGTTTCTTTATACAGAAGCCGCGGGTCGCCTTCCGGCCGCTAGCCTTTTGCAACTATTTCAAAAAACACCTCAGCCTGAAGCATCCAGGGAGTGGACCAGGCTTTCAAGCCAGTTTGACATAGTGGCCAAACAGACTTTTCCCATAAGGTTTCTTTGCGGAAAAAAACGGCTGTAAAATTGATTTTGAGTGTCACAAAATGACTCGTTTCACTATCAGAATTTTATAAAATTTTTAAAGTCTAAAACATTCGGAAGATTAAATCATTTCTTTATTGACAGAGGGCTAAAATGGAAGTTAGCTGGCTAGGCTAGAGGAAGTCTCTAGTGCACATTCTCTATGGGCCACAGTGTGAATTCTCCAAATCGGAAACCATTTTTTCCTTTTATTCTGATACAACATTGATGCAAAATATCACCTTATTGTTGTAGCTAATATGTTAGCAAACAACACACAGCAACATCGTCATACCATTGTTCATGTTTAACTATCTTCATGTACAGTGAGCTGCTCTATACAGTTGGTTTATCTATCAGAACTTGTTTTCTGAATAAAGCTTCTTGCAGCTGTTGGAAACTGGCTGGGCTGAATCATACAATAGATAAGTATGAGCTAAGAGTCATTTGATTCATGGTTAATACACTTGTTTGTGGAAAGATTGCCATCATGATTAGAAGAAACCAAGGTTTACTGTTGGCAGCAGATGGGACACGAACATTACATCTATCCACAACACCTTTGCTTTTCTTGGCACTATACGATCATCGCTTTACTTGGCACAGAACATCATTTCTACCAAATGCTGTTGTTTGTCCCTAAAGGAAAAACAACAGCAATTGGGTAAAATAAAGTATTTCGGGGGAAAATGAACTCTGATCCATCACACATGAGATGTCCCTTTTTCATTTGCGCCAATGAAAAAAACTAAGGGGAGACAGTGTGACTGGTATTAAAAAACAGGCTTCATGTAGCTTCATAAGATAGCTTTATTGTCTGTCACAAAGTAACAGAAATTTTCATTTGACACTCAAAAGACGCACAAACACTCACACACACTTAGAACAGGACTAAACCTGTTGAAACTACAACTGACAGGAACAGTGTTAACAGGTCATAGTGCAGGGCTTTTGTAAAGTTTTCTTCTTGTTTTATTTTTACACTAATTCATTAATGTGGCCTAATCTGTTGTTACTTTTAGTACTGAGCTCTCAAGCACACAGTTTTGAAAGATTAAACCAGAGAAAAAAGATGCATTTTTCCAAACTAATACAACTAAAACAGAGCAAATGCTAAATCTGAGCCCATATGTTCAAATAAAACAATACACACAGACACACAGCTCAAATGACGCACCTTCTGCCTTTCTAATTTATTTTTAGTAGAATTAACTCTACACAATTTGAACACATAGGATCTTTTATCAGACTTTTGTAAGTCTTTTACTTCAAGAAAGAGACACGATTAGCATTCATTGAAAGCTTCCTATGAATACAGTGAATACAATACAGTCTGTGCCAGATAGCTAAACATAAAGCAGCTTGATTCCAGTCTCATATATTACTTGTTATAGACAGAAGGCACAGACTAAGCAAAGGCACCATACTGAAATGGGTATTTTACCCACTTGTGATCTGATCTTCTGTCTGTTTCTGCTCCTGCTGTTGACAGCCCCTCAATCCATCATTCACATCAATTAATAAATGCTGCTGTCTTTACTTGTTAGCGGAGTCCTGAGCATTTCTCTACTTTGTGAATAAATCAACATGTACACGTAGAAGTGAAACTTTCTTTGCAATGCATCAGACTTCAAATCATCATCTTAAATTCTACAGAATTTCAGCATCACTCAAGAAAAAACACAAAGTCTAGTCTAGTCGTTCCTTCAGTTAGATTACAAGGTGTTGATGACTCTCACACTACATTTTAAAGGTTTTGTATGCGTTTATTGCTGACTCTTCCGAGTTTTTCAGTAAGGTGCCACTTTGTCTCCTAACCTTCCGCTTGTGCTACATTAAAGAAATACTTATTTTGGGAGGTGAACATTTTTGTGAGTGAGTGAGTCACTCTGCCTGACTGTACTATTGCTCCAGCAAATAACTTCTATATGAACACTCAAGTTACACACTCAAGTTACACAAGGAGATACAGTATGTTCATTAGTTAGCTTTAGAGTTGTTGCTAGCCATATTTTTGAACCTTTTGAACTGGAGCCAGGCAAACTGCTTTCCCATCCAGTCTATATAAATCTTGTGTTTTATTCTGTTTGATGAATACTGTTAATACCAAAGTGTTCTACCACGAACCAAAGGTTTCACTACCAAACAGAATGTTTGATGAGGTTTTCCTGATATCCAGTAACAGAATTAACAGAAGAAACACCGCTCTGCTTCAGGCAGTGGAGTTCTTCTGTATTTCAGTCATTTTCCATTATTTATGTGTATCAGGACACCTCAGAGTATGTTATCGCACTGATACCATACTGTAAGTACCTAACAAAGGCAAAACACACGCTTTGTTCAAATCATTATTACGTTTTTAAAGTTAGTTTGTTGTCAGTTAACCCCTATTGTAAACTTTCAACCCATTTGTGCAAATGTTCAGATTCCTGTTCCTTGTTTCTATGTATGTCACAACCACCTCTGCTCTTTCTAAGATACTTTACCACTTAAATAACAGGTTTGACTTGTGACTTAATCCAACTGGTGGAACCAGAAAAACGCAGATTAACCACTCTTTGTAGAGAAAGAAAAAAGTACTGTAAACTCTTAAGTTCTTCTCAGTCTCAAAAGAAGAAGTAGTACATGAGGAAACAGAGCAACAGGAAAGCCAGGATCCAGTTGACTGAGTGGATGTAGACGATGACCAGGCCGATGTCGAAGAGCCAGCCGCGCATGTCAGTGAGGTCCAAAGCATCCAGCGTGAAACCTCCATGGGCAAAGTGCCAGCGTCTCCCTGCCATCGCTGCGTGTCTCTGCTCTCCTGAAGTTAGACAGATAAAATCACCATCTGTATCTGTAAAGTGATTTAACACCCTTTATCCTCATGCTAGTTTGAATTTGTGTGGTAATGTATTTGAGACGTTTGGCAAAATAAGTCCTTAAGGCTGAATACTATGGCATCCAGGAGCTGGCAAAGTTAAAATGGTCATTAAAATGACCTTTTCCATTTCATTTTTTTGAATGAGCTTAAATTAGGAAATAATACAAAATAAAAAAGATTCAGAGAGTTCAGTTTGCAGTTTAATTTTCCAGTTAAGGCTGCACTACAGTTGCAGCAGTATACCGATACCATGTATGAAAATGTATGGTTATTACATGTGCATGTGCTTATCTACAGTATTGAATTCTACCATATTAGTGTTTTTAAAAAATGAGTTTTTAGTTATAAGTTATTATTAAGTGTTGGTTCCGACTAAAAACAGAACCCTTCTGTTTTCACGCCTTTAAGGGTCACTGTAACTGATGATAATAATTGTGTACCATATGCGGTGAATCCATGACGTTACTGTACCGTGAAAATGTCATACCATTGGAACCCTAGACAATTTAAAAATGAAAAGTCCATTGCAGTTTTAATTATACTTTTAATTTTGGCAGTTAATTCTGCATTTCCTATATATATATATATATATATATATAAAAAAATACACAAATAGAGAATGAAATTTCATTTCCATTCAAATTTCATTTTAATATTGGCACCACCCATCTTCCATAGTTATAAGACTACATTACTTATGAGATGTTTTTTCAATGAAGAGTACTGTATGTTCCTTTGATATTGTTGTTCATGGGTATGTAGTATATTTTTACAAACACCATTTCCATACAATGTACAGTAAGTTCACTATGCAATAATGTTTATCTTCTGGATTTGCATTACTGCTGTTTTATTGTTTGTAAAGCTGTTTGTAGGACTGAAAAGTCAACCGTTGTGAAGATAAAGTTTATTATTGCCACTAAAACGTAGGGAAAAAGCAATAAAATGTCTGGTTCTGATTAAACAAGGTCATGGCACAACATGGGTTGAAAAGGAGGTCAGTCATACAGAGACACGTTTTTCATATTGTTTTACTAACATCTAGAGGTAAACTGAACCATGTTTTTTCAGAAACAGCATCCTGGTCACTCAGAACAATCCAGAGACTTCACTGCCGGAAGCTGAAACTACTTTGTAGACAAAAGAAAAGAAAATATGCTAATACAACTATTACAAACACTTTCTCACCCCAGAAGGCACGGAAGCGTTTAGGACAGCTTGGCAGAGGCCATTTTGCACACGAAGCACTCTGGAAGTTCTGCTTGCGGGCGTAATACACTTTCGGGAAGAAGGTCTTAGCTGTTTGGTTGAGCTCTGAAGAGAAATTGAGAAACAGTATGTACAGTCACTATTCGAATGGTTGAAGACAACTAATTTTTACGGAAGCCCTGAGAGGCAAATGAGAGAAAAAAATTCTGTAGATCTG